GAGACCCGAAGGACCAGATACCCTATAGAATCATTCTATCACCCTATTAGAGACCTGAAGGACCAGATACCCTATAGAATCATTCTATCACCCTATTAGAGACCTGAAGGACCAAATACCCTATAGAATCATTCTATCACCCTATTAGAGACCTGAAGGACCAGATACCCTATAGAATCATTCTATCACCCTATTAGAGACCCGAAGGACCAGATACCCTATAGAATCATTCTATCACCCTATTAGAGACCCGAAGGACCAGATACCCTATAGAATCATTCTATCACCCTATTAGAGACCTGAAGGAGCAGATACCCGATAGAATCATTCTATCACCCTATTAGAGACCTGAAGGACCAGATACCCTATAGAATCATTCTATCACCCTATTAGAGACCTGAAGGAGCAGATACCCGATAGAATCATTCTATCACCCTATTAGAGACCTGAAGGACCAGATACCCTATAGAATCATTCTATCACCCTATTAGAGACCTGAAGGAGCAGATACCCTATAGAATCATTCTATCAGCCTATTAGAGACCTGAAGGACCAGATACCCTATAGAATCATTCTATCACCCTATTAGAGACCTGAAGGACCAGATACCCTATAGAATCATTCTGTCACCACTTTAGAGACCTGAAGGACCAGATGCCCTATAGAATAATTCTATCACCCTATTCAGAGACCTGAAGGACCAGATACCCTATAGAATCATTCTATCACCCTATTAGAGACCTGAAGGACCAGATACCCTATAGAATCATTCTATCACCCTATTAGAGACCTGAAGGAGCAGATACCCGATAGAATCATTCTATCACCCTATTAGAGACCTGAAGGACCAGATACCCTATAGAATCATTCTATCACCCTATTAGAGACCTGAAGGAGCAGATACCCTATAGAATCATTCTATCAGCCTATTAGAGACCTGAAGGACCAGATACCCTATAGAATCATTCTATCACCCTATTAGAGACCTGAAGGACCAGATACCCTATAGAATCATTCTATCAGCCTATTAGAGACCTGAAGGACCAGATACCCTATAGAATCATTCTATCACCCTATTAGAGACCTGAAGGACCAGATACCCTATAGAATCATTCTGTCACCACTTTAGAGACCTGAAGGACCAGATGCCCTATAGAATAATTCTATCACCCTATTCAGAGACCTGAAGGACCAGATACCCTATAGAATCATTCTATCACCCATTTAGAGACCTGAAGGACCAGATACCCTATAGAATCATTCTATCACCCTATTCAGAGACCTGAAGGACCAGATACCCGATAGAATCATTCTATCACCCTATTAGAGACCTGAAGGACCAGATACCCTATAGAGTCATTCTATCACCCTATTAGAGACATGGAGGACCAGATACCCGATAGAATCATTCTATCACCCTATTCAGAGACCTGGAGGACCAGATACCCTATAGAATCATTCTATCACCCTATTAGAGACCTGAAGGACCAGATACCCTATAGAATCATTCTATCACCCTATTAGAGACCTGGAGGACCAGATACCCTATAGAATCATTCTATCACCCTATTCAGAGACCTGGAGGACCAGATACCCTATAGAATCATTCTATCACCCTATTAGAGACCTGAAGGACCAGATACCCTATAGAATCTTTCTATCACCCTATTAGAGACCTGAAGGACCAGATACCCTATAGAATCATTCTATCACCCTATTAGATACCTGAAGGACCAGATACCCTATAGAATCATTCTATCACCCTATTAGAGACCTGAAGGACCAGATACCCTATAGAATCATTCTATCACCCTATTAGAGACCTGAAGGACCAGATACCCTATAGAATCATTCTATCACCCTATTAGAGACCTGAAGGACCAGATACCCTATAGAATCATTCTATCATCCTATTAGAGACCTGAAGGACCAGATACCCTATAGAATCATTCTATCACCCTATTAGAGACCTGAAGGACCAGATACCCTATAGAATCATTCTATCACCCTATTAGAGACCTGAAGGACCAGATACCCTATAGAATCATTCTATTACCCTATTGAGACCTGAAGGACTAGATACCCTATAGAATCATTCTATCACCCTATTAGAGACCTGAAGGACCAGATACCCTATAGAATCATTCTATCACCCTATTAGAGACCTGAAGGACCAGATACCCTATAGAATCCTTCTATCACCCTATTAGAGACCTGAAGGACCAGATACCCTATAGAATCTTTCTATCACCCTATTAGAGACCTGAAGGACCAGATACCCTATAGAATCATTCTATCACCCTATTAGATACCTGAAGGACCAGATACCCTATAGAATCATTCTATCACCCTATTAGAGACCTGAAGGACCAGATACCCTATAGAATCATTCTATCACCCTATTAGAGACCTGAAGGACCAGATACCCTATAGAATCATTCTATCACCACTTTAGAGACCTGAAGGACCAGATACCCTATAGAATCATTCTATCACCCTATTAGAGACCTGAAGGACCAGATACCCTATAGAATCATTCTATCACCCTATTAGAGACCTGAAGGACCAGATACCCTATAGAATCATTCTATCACCCTATTAGAGACCTGAAGGACCAGATACCCTATAGAATCATTCTATCACCCTATTAGAGACCTGAAGGACCAGATACCCTATAGAATCATTCTATCACCCTATTAGAGACCTGAAGGACCAGATACCCTATAGAATCATTCTATCACCCTATTAGAGACCTGAAGGACCAGATACCCTATAGAATCATTCTATCAACCCTTTAAAGAAAATCTAACCTCAATCATCAAACGTCCAACACATCATTTCTACACATCTGAGCATTCATGTTGATATCTGACTAAAAAAAGTACAACTTCATACATGAAAAGAAATACTGAAAGCAGAGTAATGGCTGCCATTGATCAACCAACCAAATCAATGTGTGATCTACACATTAAAGGTTTCACAGAAAGACGACCTGGACCGGGCCAAAGCAGCAAACTCTACCCCATCAGGGATGCTTCCACTAGAGCTCCCCACAGGCCACTTCCACATCAGAGCACCCACTGTGGAAAAAACATTAGCTTCCTGTGTAGCTTTATCCTGGCATCTACCCAGCTTATAGATTTACAGCCTAACGAATGGATGTCCTTTATTATCCCTCATCTTCTGTCATGAAACCACACTCCTCAGTTTATTGGAATGTTATGGAACAGGACAACACAGGGCAGCCAAAAGGAAGGAAAAATACACAATTTAAAAAGTAAGTTAGGCATACTTTAGTAGTAGCATCATCTTCCCTGATGAAGATAAAAAAATAGAATAGACAAACAAATATGACTGGAATGAAGCATTTGGTTCAGCATTTATACTACTTTATACCAGGGCTGAAAATAATCCATTATTGAAACAATTTCAATCAATTTAGAAAGCGATTAATCGTTAACTGGAGTACAGAGAATGTAAAACATGCCTTTAGTGGACAGAGCGACCAACCTAGAGCAGCAAGTATATCCAAATGGTGAAAAAAATATATAAACATTTAGCTTTTTTCCATCTTTCCATCTGCTCCATCCAGAACTCCTAGAGTGGAAGTTTAAGTTTCACCTGGTTAACTTCTGTAAAAAAAATTCTTTAAGGAACCTTTTGATATACGATTATTAATTTATTCATGAAAAAATGATCAACAGATTAATCGATTTGCAAAATAATCATTAGTTACAGTCCCCCATGGTGAAAAGAAAGAAGAATCATAGTCCTGAATAACTGACCGGCACACATGATGTTTTGAGGCGTATTTTCTCCATTAAAAACAACGTCAAAATGCTTCCTCCCACTCATCACAGCAACTTTAACAAAGCGGATCTCTTCATTGCTTCTCCTGTTCTAACCAGGACTGTCAAAGTGCATCAGCAGCGTCTGCACACACTGTGATCCATGCAAGATGTGTGCAAAGGTGTAAAAAATGCTCTTCAATATGCAGAAGCGTCAAAGATGATAATAAACGCCTTTAAAAAAAAAACCCAAAGCATATTCATGTCTTAGTGCAGACTAGTCCAAATACAGACCAAACCTGATCTAAGAAAATCTCTTCACAGGTTCTTCCCCTAATCGGAGTGAGGCTCAGCGCTGCTGACCAATCGCTCAAACACCTCATCCTGTACTGACACAATTTTCCAAATTTCTTTTGGTAAAAACATTAAAATTCATAAATCCAGGTCCTTCTAGCTCCCATCACTTGCAATCCCCTGCTGCTTCTCTCTCTGTCTGACAAAAGATTCCTGACAAAATAATGTCGTTTTTGATGCAAGAAAATGTGAAAAAAAACTTAATGAAGTCTGGCTGCTCAGTGCCACAGTTGGTAGCACTGCTGCCTTGCAACAAGAAGGTTCCAGGTTCGATTCCCGGCCTGGAGTCTGCATGTTCTCCCTGAGCATGGTGGGTTCTCTCCGGGTACTCCAGCTTCCTCCAACAGTCCAAAAACATGGCTGTTAGGTTAACTGGCTTCTCTATATCCTCCTTAGGTGTGAATGGATGTTAGTCTCCCTGCGGCGGACTGGACACCTATCCAGGTAGCAGGAGATGGACACCTGTCCAGGTAGCAGGAGATGGACACCTATCCAGGTAGCAGGAGATGGACACCTATCCAGGTAGCAGGAGATGGACACCAGCGGCCCTCGTGACCCCAGGTGGGATCAAGCGTGATGGAAAATGGATGGAACTTCATGGGGTGTCAGGACTTTATCAAGTATTAGTTGAATAGATTGTATGAAAGGTTTATTTACAACATGTCAGTCAAATTTTGAACAGGTTTTAAAAGAAATGTGAATCTTGTGATGATATTTGACAAGAATCACTTCCTTATTTATCTGATGAAACTCCAATTAAAGCCATTTTTAATCCATCCTCACCGCATTAGGCTTAAATAAACCAGATGTTGGTAATATGTTTATGGAGGCGGGATCTGTGGGGTGCGTCTGACTCACCATGTTGACCTGCAGCGGTTCTGACCCAGGTCTCAGCAGCCTCTTCCTCCTGCAGCTGGTTGAGCCTCCAGACCTCAGGCGCACTGATGATGACGCTTGACCCATCTCCACTGATATGAAGAGCACAGAGACCCAGAGTGGATTTAAAGAATTTACACAAATAAGCCAAAAGATTCACAAGAAAAATGCTGATTACCTGATGCAGGCAGGAGCAAAGCCAAGGCAGTGAGCGTGCTGGGGGGAAGAGGCAGGGAGCGACACCGCTGCAGAGATGCCCTTTGTGGGGGCTCTAGTGGTGACACCCCCGGCGGGCGAGACAAGGCCTACAAGGTACTGAGTGGTTAGGAAATATATTCCACATTCTGCAATTCACACATTCTGCTCTGCCCTTCACCTTAAAGCAAACCTTCCTCTCTGCTTTGTCCCCCTTTTTCCCTGTGAGTATTTCACTGTATTCTGGTGCAGCGGCCTCCGTGCAGCTAACCATGAGAGGTGATGCATCACGCCAAGCGGGCGCTCTCTCAGGTTAAAATGGACTGACTCTGAGTTAGGCCAATGAGAGGTAAAGCTTATGGGAGCAATGAGGCAGAAAATTGGCCACAGAGAAAGGCTGAAAGTGAGGGAGGGACACGGAGACGCTAGAAAGAAAGAAAAACCAATGGAGTTGGTGAGATGGAGGCAAAGAAACAGAGAGGGAGAAAAAGGCCTCTGCAAATGAGGCAGAGCATGCAGGCATTGTCTCCACTAACAGTGAGCGCTATATAAATACTGGGTTGGTACTGGGCTGCCCTTCAAAGCCTGCAGAGAGTGTTTGATTCATTACGGACTTGCTCTATGTTTATCACTGAGTTGGTGGAGCCCACTAGTGAGCCTTGGCCATCCTACTTTCATCTTCATATATATATTCCCATGTGTGCAGCGTATAGGCTGACTGAACGCTACGTCCTTGCTTATCTGTGGACATATCTGACTGGTTTTATGCAGAAATAGTTGTGCTTTTAACATCTTACTCTGTGAGGCAGCTCCGTGGACTGCGTCTCTCTAGTAACACTGCTCTCTATGACAGAGCAAGGCCTGGAGCGCGCAGCCATCCGTGACACGGCAGCAGCCGGCCTGCGTCTCAGCCGGGGCAGGGAGCCCACCTCGCTATAATGGCCGTAGAGCTCTCGTTCCGGGTTGGGCCTCCACAGATCCAGCACAGCTGAGGACGGTCGAGGACGGTGGAGCAGCCGCCTGTGAGGCGCACAGGTTCTCTCTGTGCTAGACTGAGGCGCGGCTTCTCCGGGTTGCCTCATACTGCCGCCCGTCTTGCTGGCAATCTGCTCACACAGCTGGGATTGGCAAAGACACTCAGCAGTTTGGCCCACATACAAGTGCAACAATGCATTTCTTGTGCAGAGAAAAAAAAAGGAAAGTTTGTCTACAGCTTTAACTGGCGTTATACTTCAGAACCTCTGAGAAAAAATTCTTTCAGTTGTCACTTCGTGTTTCCGCTTGCAGTGTCTGTGAGTAACCAGGTAACAGAAACCGCTGGCAGTCAAATTGGGTTAAAATACAGAATAATACATTTTTCACCATGAGGTAATTATCAAAAATCATTTTAAATAATGCAAATGTTCTATCTTTACTTCATCGTAATGAAAAGTCAAAACGAATCTATTTTTTCCGTCTGCTTGTGTCCCTCCAAGCAGTTTCAGAAACATGTTTTGACACATCAGTAAATCAAGAAGTTCCATGAAAACACGGGAGGTTTTCCAACTTCTGGTTTTTCCTGCTGCAACAGTGTCAGGCAAAAATCCATCCCTCTGAAAACTAAAGAGGTTTTCTGTAATCACATCAGTCGAGTGCAGTGTTTCCCAACCGGGGGTACAGTTAAGTGTAACTGAATGGGTGCAGAGTGATTTGTTTGAAGAGGCAGATCTCTGCCTCCTAATGTGGGATACAGGCTGGAAGAAGAAAGATGTATCCCTCTCAGCATGATGCTGCCTGCACCGTGTTTCATGGTGTTTTCCAGTTGTTGGTATCTAATATAAATCCAGCTCAGTAACATAGTTTACAGTCTTATCATTTTCTTCCTTTGAATCTCTGCAGCTCCTCCAGAGTCACCATGCGCTTCTTTCATTTAAGGAGTAACAGAGATCAACAGATGCAGGTTTTTAAAGGCTGAGCCGATCCCTGATGCAGATTTCTTTTTTAGGGTGGGTTTTGCTATTTTTTCCCCCCATTTAAATAATAAAAGTGGAACAATTATAACACTTTTTAATTTATGCAAAAAAATCCATCCATCCATGTTCTTACTGTTTATCCGGGTTCTGGTCATTGAGGCAGCAGTCTAAGCAAAGATGCCCAGACTTCTCTCCTCCAGCTGCTCTCTGAGGCGTCACCAGGCAAGATCAGAGACATCGCCCCTCCATCGTGTCCTCCTGATGGAGGTGTTCCAGGAGGCATCTAGAACAGATGCCTGAGCCTCCTCAGCTGGCTCCTTTCCACATGGAGGAGCAACGACTCTACTCCGAGCTCCTCCCTGGGTAACTGAGCTCCTCACCCCATCTGGAAGGGTGGGCCCAGCCACCCTGTGATGGAAACTGATATCGGCCACTTGTTTTCGTGATCTAGTCCTTTGGGTCATTACCCAGATCTCATGACCATAGGTGAGGATGGCTGCTGAATGGATCAATCAATGATTGAACTGATTAATATTGGCCATAGATAATACACAGAAATATCCGCCAGCTGGTGAATCGGTAATAACGACACCTTGTGGATAAATGAGGAAAATGTCAGGATGACTAAAACTTCTGCAGGTTTTTGTTGAGGCTCTTTCCAGCCTGCTTCTCTTGCTGGCTTCCATGTTTGCAGGCTGCTGCTCTTTAGCCAACATAAAGCACTAAAAGGCTGCGCTCTGTTTTGGAAACTCATCAGATTCTCTAAGGAACCAGAGAGTAAACACAGGCAGCACACTGCATCAAAGCAGCTCTGCACCAAACCTCCAGGTCTGAGAGGAGAAACTCTGACAGGGAGGACCTGTAGTTTACAGGGAGGGGTGCTTCCATCATGGGGGACTAATTCCAATGGTTTATTAAAGTAACTTATAACTTCTTTAATTCTGTTCTTTTTGGGCCTTTTAGTTTCTGAGCTCAGCCTGAGGATGGACTAAACAGTTTGATAATCGGTTGGTTCGTCTATTAACCTCGTCTCTGCACTGGAAAAAATCCAGATCTAGATTAGTCATTTTTTCTTAGAATAAGTGCATTTGTTCTTGGATTGAGGAGGTAAAGGAGACATTTTGCCAATGGAACAAGACAATTTACACTTAAAATTAGAAAACACAAATGCATTGTCTTATTTCAAGTGCATATTATCTAAATATCTCATTTTAAGAGTAAAACTGGTCATTCCGTTGGCAAACTATCTCATTTACCTGCTCAAATTAAGGGTAAATACACTTAATTTAAGACATTTTTTACTAATTTTTAGATCGTTTTTGCAGTGTGAGCAGTCGGGTGCATCCCTTGGTCTTCATCATGACGGCTTTTTATTTTCTCTATTTATTCTCAAAAGTCTTTACAGAACATTAGTATTTTTAATATAAAAAGATGAACTCTAATACTAAACAGATGATTTTAGAAGGTGTTTGATGCCTTGGATTTTATTGTAAAACATGTAAAATAAAGAGTTTTTTTATTCAAAATCAAATATAAAGCTTTTAGGAAAAGCTGTTCACTTTTATTCTACTTTATAAATATGCCTGAGTTTGTTTTTTTTCTTATGTAAAATGATTGAAATACGTAAAGGATTGTGTCTTTAAGTGGAAAATTTTCAGAGGGTATGAATACTTTTACAAGACACTGCAGACACTGTTTTTTATGTGGTTTGAAAAGTTCTACATGATAAAAAATATTAAACAGTAGTTTAATGACCAAATAAAATGAAAAGGGGATTGAATTCCAGTAACTTTCATGTGTATCTTTGACCCCAATCTAGATGCTAATGCAGAAACCTGTTAAATGATTGTGAGACACAAGATTAGCAGTTTTCCCAAAACAACTGCTCCTAAAGCGCTTGCCTCTGCATAATCTACCCCTATAAAAGTGCGCTGAGTATTGAGATGTCATATCTCATTTAGTCAGAAGCTGTGGCTAACGTGTCCCGACTCGCTGGGATGACTGGGAGGTGGATGAGTAATTCAGAGAAGGGGAGGCCGCCGTCATGAGGAGCTGACGTCACAGACCTGCTGCAGCCCAACGCTACAGGCTCTATGGGGAATATCTGCTTCTTTTCAGGCTATAAACGAACATCCACATGGGGAAGGACACATTTTGTAAGATCGTGCTCGTCTTGGCATGGACTGTAACCTGTTTTCTCCAACAGATGGGGCAAAAGGACAACATGAGGGCTTCTTTTTAACAGACTGCATCATAAAGCTCTGGTACCTTTCACATCCTGGGTTATTGGTGATTGTTTTAATAAGCAAACATGTAAATGCAGTTACATACATGAACTTCTGAGCATTTGTGCAGTAATGACATGACACATGCTTCTGGGTAAGTGAATGAAGTGAAAAATGCCTGCCATGAAATGAACACATGAATATGCAAACTGGGATAAAGCTTCTCTGATCAATGCACCATTTAAAATAAAAACATGTCTGCTTTGCCTTTTTTATACTTACCTTGAATATTTCTTCAGTGGAATCGGAGGCTGCTACGCTATTGGTTGTGCTCTCTTTATCCCCTTGTTGTGATTGGATACTCATTTCCTGAACTTGGTGGAAGTCAAGCGGTGCATCACTGGAATCCTGCTCATTTCCTTTCTGTTCCCGGACCGTTTCCTCCTGATGGAGACAGTTCCACCGCTGAGCATCACCCTCTGTGTTTATCCTCGAATCCTGAACATGATTCTCTGCAGCAGCCGATGGTTTGTGGTTTGTCACATTGCCTGTGATCTGAAGGCCATTAACAGCCTGAGATCCAGAAGAAGCTCTAAAAGCTTTCAGAGCAACTTTAGGGGATTGAACAGCAGCCGTTGGTCCTGGAGTCTCGCTGATGGACCTGCTGGGAGCTGAGGGTTTGGCAGTGGGAGGTGTGGAGTCTGTTCTTTGGAGTTTTAAAGATCCTTCATTGTGGAGTGTCAGAGAAACACTGTGAATGTTGTCCACTGAGTGCTGTGGCGCCTGGGGGGAGGCCATCGGAGTCCTCTCTCCCTCCGGAGGAGAGAAGGACCGCGACGTTGTCCGCCATTTTCTGGCAGACTCTGCTACGCTGGTGAAAAACTTAAACAGACCGCCAAAGTGTCCCTTAGTGTCGGAAGGTTTGGGAGGCGGCGGCGGCTGAAAGTCTCTGACGCTCTCAAAGTCTACGGATCCAAAGTCTGAGTCCATGGTCTTTTCTAGCGAGGGGAGTTCAGAGTCGAAGCTTCTCTCCGAGTACACAGGGTTGCCCTTCCCCAGGAGGGAAATCCTCCTCAGGTAACTCCACACATCTTTGGGCCTCCTCCCTCCGCTGCGCTGGGCTCTAGGGCTGCTTCTAACGCTGGGCTCCTCGCAGTCTGCGCTGCTTCTGTTGCAGTTGTTTGAGTTGCTGTTGCTCTTTTTAGGGTAGGAAACTCTGTCAGGTTTGCAGCCATTCTGGATGACAGCCTCCTCCGCAGCCGTGGGCTGAAGGCCCTCTATTGGTGCAGAGAGGTCAAGGTCGTCGAACGAGCAGTCAAAGTCTACAGTATAGCCGGCGTACGAATGCCTCTTCCCTCTGCTTCGAAGGGTGCCTTTACAGGTCTGCTGCGGCGTGCCGACGTCATGGCAGAGAGAGCTCTCATCCACCAAGGAGTTGCTGAACTTGGCAGTGGACAACTTCCCTGCTTTTCCTCTGAAAGCAGCGGGGGATTTCAGCTTCTTGAAAGACCGAACTTTGTCTGCGAAGGAGAGCTTAGGGATGGTGGCCTCCCCGGGCAGAATCATGGAGTGGGGTCTCCTTTCCAGCTCTGAGACGGCTCTCTTTCGGTTTAAGATGCGCCAGATGCCGCCGCTGGCACGGGCCCTCCGGTTGACCTCCTGTCTGTCCCTGACAGGGGTCTGAGAGGAGGCAGCTTGGCTCTCTCTCTGCACCTCTACGGGCCCCAACCCCGTCTGCTGAATGCAAACGCTGCCCGTCTCGTTCTCCACATCCAGGGAAACGTTGAACACTCTGTTGACAAACCCGTTAGGGTTTCTGCTCTCGGAGGCAGGGCTGTCTGTCTGTTCCATCCTCTCTCATTCTACGGTGTCAGCTATCAGTTCCGCTGAACATCATGCTTAGGTCCTCTCTCTGTTCCTCCAACACCTGGAGGAGCAAAACCACATTTTTATTCAGGAATCTGACATTAAACGGACAGCACTGTCATTCCATATATCCTCCTTTCCCTTTATCCGTTCACAGAATACCCAGAAAGGCCTGCAATGGATGTCGGACACAGACTGAGTGGTGAAACTAATGTGAAAACAGTGTTTTATCCTGAATCTCACGCTTAACAATACCTACATGGAAGATTAACACAGTGAGAGTTTGATTGCTGCCCCCCCCCCCCACAACCATCATATTTGGTACCAATTATCCAAAGTAATTATTTGAGTCCCCGTCCCCCATCTAGCCGCAAGGCTGCGTTGTCATGGAAACACTCACTACAGGGATGTCTGGTTATTTCAGCCCTGCCTCTGCTGTGACATCATCACACGACTAAGATAAGCTCCTTGTTGAGGATAAGGATGCCCCCCCACATGCTAATTAGCCATGTTTAGTAATCCCTGCGGTATACGGGGGGGGCATCTTACATCATTCAGGCCTACGGCATAAACTACTCACGCTACGTGAGATCTGAAGTAAACTCTTCTTTTCATCTAATGTCACGATGCAGTTCTGTTTGGATTTTATAAATAAGTAACCCCCCCGACCCACTTCCAGTTGGTTGATCCAACTGAAATTTTGCATGTACAATTATTTATATATCTATAGATGAAATGACAGATAACAGCTTTGAACTAAATGTGGTTTCTGATTTACAGGAGTTTGAACTGAGTCCAGTCTGACAGGAGCCTGCTGAGCGTGGAGCAGCGATCCAAACTCCGCGGCAGATTTATGATGACATTAAAGCAACTTATGGTGATGATTCCCCAATCATACGACCTTGGAAAACATTTTACAAGGTCTTATGATGGACCATCATCATCATCATCATCATCATCATCAGGTCTCCTGTGGTGTTCCTCCTCTTGAATCCACAAACCGGATCACAGCTCCACACTCAGCAGGCTCCATTGCAGACCTGACTCAGTTCAAACACCAGAAATCACAATTAGTTCAGCTGCAATTTATATTAAATATAATCTCTGATAGAAATAGAAATGATTTCATAAGCATAATCTCAGCTAGATTAAACAATGAGAAGCGGGTCAGGGACATTTCTTATTGAACGCATCCAAAACTTACCAAACTGCAATCATAAGTGTAAACATGTGGACACTAAAATGATTCATCTATTCTTATATTTGTAATATAATATATAATAAAATAATAATAATATTTACTCATTTGTCGTGTTTAGACCGTGAATGTTTCTGTCTTAGAATTGGACGTAGATTTGTCTTCAGCCCCCAGAACCTTTAATTGGCAAATCCATGCATTTGCAACAATTACCTTTAAAAGTCTTGGAGGAATATGATACCAGCTTTTTTTTTTGCAATTTCATGACAAAGATTTCTAAAAATCCTTTCTGCAATACATAATTCCAGCTCATTCAGATGGGATTAAGTGTCTCAGTAAGTGGACATTTTTAAGCCCTCTCTAATGAACCTATGTTGTCCTTTAGGAGGATGAATCTCCAGCCTGATCTTAAATCATTTTCTTATAGGATTGTCTTTAATATCCATCTCCATCTTTTAATCTCTGACCAACTTCCTTAGGAAGATGGACTTCTTGGCCTCGCATGGCCATTGGCTGGACTTCCACGTGCCGCTCTGCAGCTCTACCATCGACACTTATGGAAGATAAATAAAAGTAATTGCACCATGAGATGTTTACGACACCCCATGTCTCCAAAATCAGCGCTGTGGGCAGCATTCCTGTGTCTTATGATGGTTTATTGGTCTCTAACATTCTTTCAAACAATCATCTGAGTCTTTCAATTATAAATGAGATCAAATTAAATCAGGTGTTTTTCCAACAGTTCTGTTGTTTAAGCGAATCAAAAAAAGGGGAGTAAAAAAAATATTCATTATACAAAATATTAAAGATTTGCATTTTTAGAAGTATTACTTTGAGTTTCCCTGTAAAGACATAAACACATTTAAAGGTTGGTTTAGTTTTAATACTCTACAAAGGGATTAAAGAATAAATACGTTTGAGAAAAACGGACTTAAAGCTTGACTGTTTCGACATTTTGGAGAAAAAAAGAGCCAACGAGGAAAAACCCACTAAAGAGAAGCAGACATAGCTAACTGTTTGGCTGCATTGTAATATATAAAACAAGAGGGATAAAATGTGGTTAAGTGACACAATATTTTATACTTCATTTAATCAAAGGGATTTGGAGATGACAACGTTTCATTGTGCTCGTTTGGTTACTTCATATCCATAGAAGCAAAGGAAGTTTCATTGGAAAGAAAGCCAAGACAATGCAGCAAAAAAAAAAGATCAGACGTCCTTACAGAGAGTTTGGCGCATGGTGAAAGTCATGCAAGCAAATATTTCCCAACCCAAACGATGTTAGAAAGCCAGAGCAGTTTTTAAGCAATGCCTCTTGGAGTGATAGATCAAGGAATCAGCCTGGAAATGTCTGGGTTGATTTGAAGCATGTGAACATGATGTGTAAAGCAACTGCAGGCAGTGTGATTGCAGGGTGTGCTCACATGACAATGTGACAGAAATCAGTGACTGCAAGGTGAATTATGAGCTATGCAGAGATGCTGTTTGCTGATAATAACGTTTTTTAGGTCCAAGCAGTGGAGCGGCCTTTCCTTTCCTCAGTGAGGGCAGAAAAAGCCGAGGAACAAAGTGCTGCTGAAGCAGGAAGGGCTTGGCAAAGCTTCACAGAGGAGGAACGCCATTCTTTTGATGATGTTCAGACTTTTGCCAGTAACAGCGTGAACGGCTTCTGGACAAAACATTAAAAATTGACGTTTTATTTTTAGCCGATCTGCTCTAATTACATTGAAGTGAGGAGCTACGCTGTGGCTATTTAAACTGCAGCTTTTAAAACCTTGGAAATAAAACTGAATGAGGCTCAGAAACAGAGCCGGCCCAAGGCATAGACAACATCGGCTTAAAGCTGGAGTACATTAACTTAAAGGAAAAGTCGCTAATATTCAGAATACAAACTTCTGAAAGTTCTTTAAATCTGAAATGATTCCATCCTGTTCAATAAATGATCAGTGTTTTTAATTCAGTCATTTTCATGTGAATGTGCTTTACTGGAGGCATCCATGTTTGTCAAAGAACACTACTGCCACCTACTGGTTAGTGACGTCATGGTGCGGTATCGGCTGTTGATCAAGTCCCAGTGCTGTATCTGGTGTTTGTCACAACGCGCTATTATCCAAGTCATCTGGAAAACATTCTTCTTCCAAATGTTGGCTACATATTACGGGTTTTTTCTCTGGCCAGAAGTTCGATGGCAAATCCTCCCTCTTCAAGTTGGCGATCCAACGACCAACCCGTCCGTGGAGGATCAGGAATCAGAAAGGTGGAATAACTCTTTTTTTTTTTCACTTTTACCCGATGTATTCCAGCATCCAGCTGCCATGCACGTGGGCATTGTCAGTTTCACTATAGCTCTGGTGAATTTCAATGGTGAAGTCCTCTGGAAATCTTCAATAATTGTTGTTGATTGCAGATGTGTCTAGTAGTTCCCATTGATTTAGCTTGGAAAGCGGGGAGAATGGCGCTAGGCTAACCGCAACGTGACGTCACTGCTGGAGGGAGGGGTTACTATATTTGGGAAAAAATGGCCGCTCCCAGACTCGCAACAAAAAATATTGTTTTTATTATTTTACTGATTAACGCTAAATTCATTAAATCACAAAAACGTTTTAGTTTTAGGTATAAATAATGATCCATTATTCCTGCTGACCGGCCTTTTCCTTTATAAAATAAATAAAAATGTATTTAGAATAAATGTAATTATTTTAAGATGTTAAGGCATCTTGTAGCAACGATGATTAACTTCCACAAACAACAAAGTCTCTATAAATTAAAAAGAATCTCCTGCAGGTATCACCAGCTCACAACCTCTGAAAGGAAGAAGGACCTTAAAAATATCTGAAATATTCCCCTGAAGGCTTCAGATGCCTTTTCCACTGTGCAGGGGCGGATTTAGGAAATTTGGGGCCCTAGGCAAAGACAGGCAGGGGGCCCCCTGAGAAGAAAACCCATAAAACAGCCCCATTCTACAGATAGAGAAATGTTAATAGAATAGACATCCATTATTTGTTCTAGGTTTTGTCCCTCTCTTCTTGTCCCTTTTTCCTCTCTATTTATCAGCGTTCTGATGGCATTTTAACCAAAGGATTTTTATCAAAAACATAATTAATGTGCACAAATAAGGAATAGTTGTATTAACCATACATGGAAACAGAGTTTTATGGGGCCCCCAGGAACTTGGGGCCCTAGGCAACTGCCTAGTATTGCCTAATGGTAAATCCCCCCCTGCCACTGTGGAATGAGCAGCTGTGGAGGCTGGTGGACATGAAGGGAACCCTGCAGGGAATGAGGGGCCCTGGAAACCTTAGGACAGGCTCTGATGTTCCTAAACTACACATTAGATTTATTAATCAGATTCGCACTGATGATAATTAATATTCTAATAAGGTTTCGTTAATAGAAACAGTCTGTAGAGAAACAAAGTCAACTTCTACAAACTAACGCAGTTATTTTGCTTTTAACTGTTAAACTAAGTAGGAAGTTCTTTGGGCGTTTTTCCTTATTAAACAGGAATGCTGCGTCTCCTGATCCCGATCCTGGTCCTGATCCTGGTCCCGGTCCTGATCCTGATCCAGCAGGCAGAAACAAACAGCTGAAGCCTGGAGCCCTGCGGGGCGCTCACTCACCCGCAGCCGCGTCCCGCAGCCTTTCAACGCCGCATCTGTCCCCGCAACACACCGCCTCAGCTCCGGACAAACTCACACTCTGCCTCCACCTCCAGTCCTGCTCAGGGAGAGAAGAAGGCGGATGTAAAGTTGGAGAAGCGACGCTTTCTTCCTCCTCTCATGGGTTTGGTTTGAACTGCTGGAAAACTTTCATCAGTTTGGAGAAAAACTCCGCGAGTTCAGAGGAAGCGCTGAAAACTCAGCCTGCAGACAGACAGGCAGACAGACGGACAGAGAGACAGGCAGTCAGCTCTGATTGGTGATAAAGCTCTCAGGAAAACACACACACCCATACTTGTTCTGCCATGCGTCGTGAGGACCATGCAGGCTGACAGGGCCGGTCCTAGTTTCAGCGTGTGAGGGCCGGCCCTCCTTAAATCATAGGCTCCAACTCTTCCTCTCCTGCTGAAGCTCCTACCTGTGACAGTAAATACCTGAAGGAGCTGCAGCAGTAATCCAATGGTAACTCCCTAACTGATGCATGCAGTATATATAGACTATAGAGACGGTTGGAATATGGTGTAAATTTCTATTTCTTTAAATCGTAGAATCCTTGCAACAAACTAAATTAAAATAAAACTAAAATGCTTATGTTTGAATATTTTTCAAAAATCTGTTGCGGTGCAGGATGGGGTTTAGCATCTAAAGGCAAACGTTTCCCATCTTATATTCATTGTTGCCAGGTTGGGATGTTTCCCAATCTGGCAGTTTAGGACGGCCGTCTATGGGTAAAAAATTTTTTTCTTTAGATTTACGGTCAAAGAGATCAATAGACTTTGGTTCAAATTGTTTAGATTTGGTATATCCAGGTGGTTTATGGAAATTTTTTTGCTGGAAAACGTGAGTCAGTGACATCTGGCAACCCTGCTGATGTGGGGAGTGTGGACGTTACGCAGCAGCAGTCACTGTGGCGTCCGTGTTAATAATCAAAGCCAGTAAAACCGGGTTAGATCGGTTAATCCACAATGTCTGTTCTTATTGTGTTTCACATATGAGATGCACGTGTGGGCCAGTGTAGGTGGAAAAATGCCAGGGCCAAAAATCGTTCCCAGTCTGAGCCTGGGACCATGATTGACTCCCATTGACTTCCATTGATTTTCAGTCATTTTCAACCCTTTCTATGGCCTAACCCTAAACCTGACTCTTACCAATGCAGACCTAACCCCACAGACACCTTAGCCCTAGCTTGTGAGGACCAGTAAAATGTCCTCGCTGTGATGGTAAAATAGGAGCAATGGTCCTCACTCTGAGGGCTACAAAGGTACACATGCCACCCCCACCAATTTAGTGAAAATCACAATCACAGCCGATAGAAAATTCAACAAGGCCTTGAGCAGAATTTAAATGTTGGCCCCCACTGATAACTGAGATCATTTTAGATTAATTATTCACATTGAATATTCAATAAATACACCAACTCAAGCTTTTTATATGTTTATTTTAAAGTACTAGTGTAAAGAACCGAGACGTGTCGAGCTGCAGACTGGCACAGTCAGGACGCCTCGTTACAGACCTGTTCAATACGCCCTCCTGTACTGTCAGGACCCCAAGTTTATTCCAGATGTTTTATGCGAGGCCTGCATGTTATTCTTACTTAGGTACCATTTTGGATACTCTAACCAGCTTCAACAGTAATTATTTAAAGTAAAGTCACGTAACTTAAGCAGGAATACGTAAAAATGTTTTTATTGTAACTGATACATTGAAATATGATTCTAGTGTTTAACTTCTGTCATTTTACTCAGAAATATTGTATAGAAAACTGAAATATAATATATGCAATAGAGCACAGGGTATATATGCTGCCCGAGTTTATTAGAAGTAGAAGAAGAAGAAGACATCTGAATGTTTAGTGGATGAAAAAGTAGCGGAGGCAAAATTTGTCAGAATGATCAGACAAGCAGATTTATCCCAGATTGCTTCCTCGCAAAGCATTATGGGATTTGTTGTCACACAAAGATGGTGCAGGCACCGTGCATGGAGGCGGAGTCACGTGAAAAAGGATATTAAATTATTTCTTTATTTTATTTATTCATTTGTTAATCAGTCAGCAGCACTGGAGAACCACAGGGGACAGTACTCCCACCACTTTTACTCTGCACACCTCTGACAATAAGACAGAGTCCTGCAGAAAGGTTTGCATGACTCTGCAGTCATTTGGGCGTTCAAAGATGGACAAGAAGCTGAGAAGAGACAACTGCTGAACCGCTTTTTAAAATGGCGTAGAAACAACAATCTGACCCTGACTGTGAACTAAAGGTAGATGATTGTAGAAAAAATAAATTAACCCTGTTATCATCCTGGGAGAAGAAGTGGAGATGGTGGATGTTGGAGCTTGGCCTGTTTTCCCGAGATCCAACTACGAGCTTTTTAACTGCAGCAACTTTAAGATACGCTATTGGAGCTGGAATTACCGCGGCTGCTGGCACCAGACTTGCCCTCCAATGGATCCTCGTTAAAGGATTTAAAGTGTACTCATTCCAATTACAGGGCCTCGAAAGAGGCAAAAATAATCCCCCAAGGCTTGAAAATCTAGCAGAGCTGAACATTGATAGAGGCAGACCAACTGCAGATATAGTTCTGCTGCTATAGGCTTAGACTGCTGGAGGACATAGGGACCCCTTTTTCATCATTCTGCTTCATTCTATCTCTATTCTCCCACTCTGCAGAATCTGTTAGTTCAATCTCTAACGTTCTGCTCTCTCTGCTTTTTCTCATAGTAGCTTCATCTGGTCTGTTCCTGTTTGGCTGTGACTCCATCCTGGAGAGAAATATCAGCTGTGCTGCTGCCATCAACACCTTTGTTTCTAGATGTTGGAGCTTGGCCTGTTTTCCAGTGTAGTCCTGTTTCTCTGACTGTGACTAACTGGATGTGCTCTCTTCATCCTCTGACATGGGAGCTGGCTCGGAGCTCGTCTGCCTGGCTGTGTGTTTCCTGGACGGGGCCGCCTGTGGACCTGGTTGCCTTTTGTATCTATGCTTCTTTTTCTATGTCTGCTTCTGTCTCCTTGAACCCCAGTGGGCCTCAGCAGATGGCCGCTCACACCGAGCCTGGTTCTGCTGGAGGTTTCTTCCTGTTCAAAGGGAGTTTTTCCTCTCCACTGTCGCTACAAGCATGCTTAGTGTGAGGGATTGCTGAAGAGTCAATGAGTCGATGCAATCAGCCGGTTTTCCTTAGATAGAAAACTTTGAATCAATCTGACTGGATGATCTGGTTGATCTGGATCTATAAAGTGACCTGAGATGACATGATGTGAATTGGAGCTATAGAAATAAACTGAATAGAATTGAATTAAATGTAATTAATGTTCCTTTAAATTTTTCATGTAAATTATTTATAAAATACTTGTAATGTTTTGAAAAATGTTCTTATAAACCAGGATTGTCCAGCAGGGGGCCTGATACTTTGATTAGATATAAACTTTTAATAAAATAGAAAATCAGAAGTGTTAGTTTTTCAATTAATCCAGTTCTTACGCTTTTTCTTAATTTCCTGGAGCTTTAGAATCAAATGTTTGTTGTGTTGCTGCTTCAAGTTTTTATTCATGGATTAATAAAAAAGTCCTTATAATTACCGAAGAGGCAGCAAAAACAGGTTATTGACTGAACCCTGGTCTCACTAGCTGATATTCCTTTGGGATTTTCTCTGAATGTGAAAATCCTTCTATTGAAATGATACAATGGGGAGGGAGGGAGAGGGGGAGGGAGCAGGGGAAAACTGAAGGAATTCAGAAAACTAAACAGCTCCACTGCTCCGTCGCCCTGAAAGAGGAGATGGTGGAAGAGGTGGCCTAAATTTAAACATTTCCTCTTTGTCCTGTTTTGGGCCCATTGTCATGGCATGGCGTTCTCCCCTCCTGCACAGGAAGGAGTGGATCTGACATCAACGCTCTCAGGCTGACAATGCCAGGAAGTCTGTCTGACTGTATGTAAATATCTCCGGGTGTCCGTGCTTCCCCTGCTTGTCCATGGAGACGCTCTCTGCTCCTGCGTGGCCCTGTCCCTTGAAGCAGCTATCCGACGCTTGTGATGGCGCTGACGTTGTGGCAAGACGGTGATTTACACACCACAGTTCACCAATAACTCACCATCAACCGTCTTTAGAAACTACAGCCCAAGATCTTTTGATGACCTTTGCACGATGGCGGATGACCGGTTATGCTGCTATTATTATTCAAATAGATAAAATGTTTGATATTTACTTTTTCATTTTTTATCTCTTGAGTTTCTTTGACTCGCAGTTTATTGCTCTTTGCTCTAAAATCCGTTCCTTCTTATTCAGGAAGTTACTTCTTAAACAGCAGATGCTAGACCGATGCTGCTGGCACCAAACTTTGGCAGCTTTGATTAAACATTAACACTCCAAAAAGCACCATACCTGTTAATTTGAGGGGTGATAAAGTATGTGTCACTGAGCTCTAAGATAACTGATTGAAATAGTCATAGCTATTCAATTTAAATTCTATCCAGTTTATTTCTATAGCTCCAATTCACATCAAGTCACCTCAGGTCACTTTATAGAGACAATTCATCCAGTCAGATTGATTCAAAGTTTTCTATCTAAGGAAAACCAGCTGATTGCATCGACTCATTGACTCTTCAGCAATCCCTCACGCTAAGCATGCTTGTAGCGACAGTGGAGAGGAAAAACTCCCTTTGAACAGGAAGAAACCTCCAGCAGAACCAGGCTCAGTGTGAGCGGCCATCTGCTGAGGCCCACTGGGGTTCAAGGAGACAGAAGCAGACATAGAAAAAGAAGCATAGATACAAAAGGCAACTGTCAACCAGCTCCACAGGCGGCCCCGTCCAGGAAACACACAGCCAGGCAGACGAGCTCCGAGCCAGCTCCCATGTCAGAGGATGAAGAGAGCACATCCAGTTAGTCACAGTCAGAGAAACAGGACTACACTGGAAAACAGGCCAAGCTCCAACATCTAGAAACAAAGGTGTTGATGGCAGCAGCACAGCTGATATTTCAAAAAGCAGAGAGAGCAGAACGTTAGAGATTGAACTAACAGATTCTGCAGAGTGGGAGAATAGAGATAGAATGAAGCAGAATGATGAAAAAGAGGTCCCTATGTCCTCCAGCAGTCTAAGCCTATAGCAGCAGAACTATAGAGATAGATCAGGACAACCTGAGCCACTCTAACTAGAAGCTTTATCAAAAAGGAAAGTTTTAAGCCTAGCCTTAAAAGTAGACAGGGTGTCTGCCTCACGGACTAAAACTG